CTCTACATCCAGCAACAGAATGGAAATAGACACCTTCACAACTTCACCAGCAGCCTGGCAACCCTCACCTGTAAAACCAGACTGGGATCTCTCAGAAAGGAGAGTGACTCAAATGCTGCAGATGGATTACATTTCATAGTCTAGAGTTACCTTTGGATGCCTGCACTATGGAATACTTACAGCAAAACTTCTGCATCTAAACTCAGGCTTAATCCAAGGATTTAGCCTGGAACCCAGACCCACTAAAGACATCTGATGCTACAGCATCAGAGCTTTGCTAGGCACTGGTATGGCATCTTTTTCCTGTGAAAGCTATACTCTTCCCATCTACTCTTTCCAACTTCCCATGAGCCCATCATCACAGGCAGCAATCTGTACTGAAGATTTATGGGCCAAAATAAGATTTAAGCTATTCAAACAATCTGTGTAGGCATTTTTGATCATTACACCTGTGAAGGTGAGTGTAAAGCACACATACCATATAGCTCACCTGTAACTAGTAATCTGAAACATCCTGAGTTTTTGCAGCTGCCCAGCAAGATCACAGGCAAAGCATCTTATTCTACTCCTCCCAACAGTGGCCTTTGTGTTAGCTTAACACTGCTTTGTGCACCTATTTCTGTTATCAAGTGAATATGCAAGTGTAGCCATGGTAGCCACTTTGTGGCAGATGTGAACAAGGGCTATGTCCAACTAGTTACAGGTCTGCTTGTAACCCACACTCATGTCCCCTGATTATTCCTGGGCTTCTGCAATCTGAACAAATCATGCTCTAACACGACCAGGATCCTAATCCCCTCCCCTGCCTCCAGAGGGGTGTATTTTGGATTCACAAAATCTGCTGCTGGATTTGTTGATGAAGCAGGAGCCTTCCCTCCCCTCACCTCCTCCAGTCACACCCTGTGCAAGGCTGGGTCTGGTCACCAGTGCACAGCACTGCTCTGCCCATGAAGGGGATCACCCAGCTCATGGATCCCACCGGGCACCGCCCCAGCCTGGCCTGGTGGAGATTTCGGAATTTCTGTGTATGATCAGCATTAGGAACCCCAGTGCTTAATGACTCCGAGCACCAGCAAGGCTGTGGGCAGTCAAATCTCACCCACTGAGCCCCTGCCTGCAGCTGGGTGTTCAATCTGAGATCACAAAAAGGCGGTTTGGTGTCCAAATGTCACAGACTTCTCTGTGACACTGCAAAAAGGATACGTTTTCAAGAAGGGAATTAGTGGCCATCTCTGCTTTAATGAAGTATTCTCCCAGCAGCAGGTTCCTGTGCTTCCTCTTACCTCAGTTCCCTCCTTGTGTAGTTTCCAATTACAGTTTCTTCAGCCACTCCTCCTCAACCTCTCCTAGCATCAGAACACCCTCTATTTTGTACACATTTACATGTGTGTCTGTTTATCTGTGTACATTTGTACACATGTCATGGTAATCACCTTCCCTCTTCTAAATTTTTCCCACTATCAAAACCAATAGCCCTCCCCCTGACCTTGCACTGAGCTTGTACTAAAGCAATGGGAATTTCTTCTTCAACTTCATCTCACTTTTAATCCAACCCCATGAGGTCCAAAACAAGTCCCCACCACAGGCTCTATTCCTCATCCTGCAGTGCTCTGCATGGGACTTGAAGGAATGGTGTCTAAAAGAATAGAAGGGGAATGGATTTTGTCTCAGGAAACCAATTCTACTCAAAGGGCAGGAGAACTGGAGTCACTCGTTAATGGAAGAGACAAGATTAATGAAGCTTTCTCAAAAGGGCACCCCACCTTGCTCAGCACTGAGAACTCGCATCTAGAACGCATGAATGCATTAACTTAGAACTTTGCTGCACCACTGAACCCTTCGTAGGTAGCAGTGTGTCACAGCCAAGGCTCAGATCTTCTTCTTACACTAAATGCTCTTTTCCACACAGCAAATTTCAACACGTACTTCTGGCCCAAAGACATAAAAGCAGGTGACCTAAACCCAGTCTTGGCTAAACCCAGTTCTTCCAAGCCGTACAGGAGAATTATTCTGCACTACTGAGTAAATCAGGACAGCTGGTCTCTCACACATCAGCTGCAGAGGGAAGGCAAAAAGATGCACTGCCTTCTATGAAGATTTAAAGGTAAGGCATGCTTGTGACAACTCCTAGTTTCACCAACTCTTCACCTTGCCAAAAGGAGTTCCATCCTCTGCCCTTTCTCTCCTGGTGGTAGAGGTGCATGTGTGGTCTCACAACAAACCGCAGCAAAGAACCTGCAGAGATGACAACAGGCAGGCACGACGGCTTCTTTCAACAGCAGTGCCCGCTGAGAGGATTTGTGCAACCACAGCCTGTTTATCCAAGCACAGAAATGTAAGAACTAAATGTGTGATTCCCTCTGGCATCTAATCCTGCTGCTGGAAGAGGTGGTCCCTCACCATGTTTCTCACACTACACTTCTTCAGCAATCTCTCTGGGCATAAGGCAGGCTAATGCAACTTCTATACTTGTTTTTCTTTAGGGAGGGGGGTTAATAGTCAGTCGGAGCAATGACTGGACTGATCTGAGGCCACTCAGTCACCTGAGCTGATCCAAGGGAAGCAGCAGGAGCTTGCAGTCAGGACTGGATGAGAACTGGATCGTTCCTTCACCAGGAGCCTGTTGTGCTGCTCGGCTGCTCATCATGTGAAGCCCAGCTCCAAGCAACACAAGTTATTCAATCACAGATCCCAGGAAGACCTGCCTGCACAAAGACACCAGGCCAGGCTGGTGTAAACCATCCATCACTGCTGTAAACCACACTGATCACCCACACTGATCACCCAGCCATGGGTTTGCAGTCCAACAGACCATCTTTTAGCTGGAACGTGTCACCCTGCCAGCAACAGGCTTTCATGTCAACCTGGCATGAAAACTTGTAGCAAGATTTTGTGGTTAGGAACCAAGCCGGACAGATGGAGATAAGAAATTAGTGAGGCTGATCAGCCATTAGAATAATTTACCCAGGGAACCAGTGCAGCCTATCACTTGATATCTTGAAATCAAGACTGGGTACTTTCCTAGTAGAATTTCGGATTCGATGCAATGATAACCAGCTGGGAATGTAAATACCTGCCAGGGGTCAGGTGAAGGTATCTGTCCCCAGCTGGCTGATACTCTGAACATCAACTGTGTGATTAGCTCAGGAAAGAGGGAAATAACCTCTCTGTAGAGCCCAAGCGTCAAAACAATAGAGCACAACTGCATTTGCACTGAAGTCACTTCTGAGTACTTCATTAAAGGATTCAACAGGAGCTCAGTGAGGAGCTGCAAAGCGGAAAGGAATTGCAAAACTTCCGAGGCATGACTACTGAAATAAACTAGCTGTGAATAATTTAGCCAAACATCAACTGGAAAGATACCAGATGACAGAAAGCACAGTAAACACTTAGAATCAAACATCCTTGGAAAAAAATGTGATTCCAATTAAGAATTGGAAATCCCTTGTGGGCTGTTCCTTAAATTTTGCCTGGGATAACTATGGAGAGTGAATGTAATATGAATAGAAACTAATTAAATAAAACAGCCCACTTTAAACAAGACTCCAAAGAAGATTACATTAAAAAGAAAAAAAAAATCATCAAAAACTATAGCATAATTTGGCTCTTTCCTACTAAAAGGACATGAAACAAACATACCATAAGAAGGGATAAGATTCAAGAGAACAAGCACAAGAACATCTATCTAAAGTTAGCAGAATGAAAAAAAAAAAAAAGGCCTGTGGAACAGACTTACCGTCAAAATCTACCAGGATGCACAAGAAGTTCCCAGAGGAAGTATTTGTGTCCCACTATTTCAGAGAGCAGGAGCATCAACCTCAAGCCCAGTCGCCCGCTGTCACAAGCAACTGGACCATATAACCCCACTGAGATTTACCCAGACCAACAAGGCTGCTGTAAAGGCAGGACAGGACAAATGCCAGCCTCAATCACCACCTGGCAAAACAAGGTTCTACACAGAAGCCAGCTGAGCTCTTCCTAACATTAACAATAACTAAGAAGAACTCAGATTTGTTGCAGCTTCAAGTCTGATTATGGATACCTCCTCCTTGCCCAATTCAGGTGCAGTACTGAAATCTGGGTCACCCATACATTATTCCTCCAAACCAAGCCACCTCCCTCCAGTGCAACCCTTTAAAAGGACTCTAGTCTTATCCAAGCCATTTAGGCCATGAGAAACTCCAAAACACCAAGGAATCAGATCACAAAACTTCCAACAACACATTACACATGTGGCTTGCTGCAGGAGAAACAGGCACCCAGCTCCAGGAGAAGCCAACACGGGCATCTGTATCCAGCAGCGCCCTGGCAAAGCCTGCAACAAGCCAACACCGATGAGCCGAACTCAGATCTCTGACCTCGTAAATCCTACCAGGTTTGACGCAGTCTTAGCCAATATCTGGGAATAAACGAAGCATCAAGCAACGACAAGCACGGGTGCTGGGAGGACGATGGGTCAGGCGAGAGCCGCGGGAGCTCCGAATCCCCCCCTGGCAGGTTGGCTGGGGCGCTGGGGCTGCCATCGGAGCGGCTGCGGGAAGGAGGCAGGAAGCGAGCAGCAGGCAAGGATCTCGCCTCTCGTTCCTCTGCCTTCCCTCCGTGACAGGCCATAAAAGTCACGAGGCAAGGAGGAAAACAAGGAGGTGTCCAGAGTTCGAGCGCGGCACCTCCGCGACTCCCGGGCCGCAGCTGCCGGCGGGAGCCGAAAACCCGGCGAACACCGTGGGATCTCGCTCCTGCGTGGGAGGCACCATTTCTGCGGGAAGAGGCTCCTGCTGCCGCTTGGCAGCCGAGCCTGGGAGCGGGCCTGCGCTCCGGGCCCTCCCTGCCGCCGGCACGGGCGGGGGAGCGGGGGGCGGCGGGCGGGACGGGCGCTGCCGTCGGGGCGCGGAGCCCCCGCCGAGGATACGGCCCCCAGCCAGCCAAGGACGCGGCGCCCGGGGCTGCCGCGGGCCGGGCGGAGCGGAGCCCCCTTCGCCGCCCCTCGGGGGGCGCCGGAGCTCCCGCTGCGCCCCGACCCCCGCGGGGCTCCGCGCCCCGATAGCGCCCGCAGCGCGCACCGGGCCCGCCGCGGGAGGAGCGACGTTCGCCTTCCCCGGAGATCCCTCCTCCCGTCCCCCTCGGGTCCTAAAATGGTGGGTCGGCCGCCCTCCCTTCCCTTCCCTTCCCTTCCCTTCCTTCTCCCCCTGGTCCCGTCCCCCCCCCCGCTCCCGGAGCCCGCCCCGACCCCGCGGGGCAGCCGCCCCTCCGCCCGTCCCGGCCTGGGCTCCGCGCGGATCCGGCGCCAGGCCCGCGCCTCTCCCGGGAACACGGCAACGGCGATCCCGGGAATACAGCAACGCCTCTCCCGGGAACACGGCAACGCCGCCCCCGGCGGCCGCCCTTACCTGCGCCGGGCTCACATGGCGGGGCCGGGGCCCGCGGAGCCCCCCCCGGCGCCGCTCGGCCGCCGCCCTGCGCGGGGCCGCAGGTATGTCATGAGTGCGAGCGCGGCTCCAGGTGAGCCGGGCACACCTACAGGAAGGCAGGCGGGCCGCCCTGATTGGCGTGCGGGGCCGGCGGCCGCGCTCCGACGGCACCGCGGCGGGGCAGGGCAGGGCAGGGCAGGGCGGCCGAGGGGCCGCGGCAGACACGGCGGCTCTGGCCACGGCCGCTCTGGCCCCGGCCGGCACAGCCGCTGCCACGTCCGAGCCGAAGGTATTTTCCTTATTTTTTTTTTTATTTTATTTTTTACATTAATTCCGTAGTTAGAATATGGGTGATGGTCCTATATAGAGGGAAAGGCGGACGAGGAGCGGCTGAAGTCGCTGGTTTGTTCAGCCTGGAGCAGACTGGGGTCAGAGCTCGCAGCAGTTCCGCGGCTGCCTCGCAAGGAGGAGGGGCAGCTCTGATCTCTGTGACCAGGGACAGGACCCAGGGAACGGCTGGAGCTGTGTCAGGGCAGGGTTAGGGTGGAGCTGTCTCAGGGGAGGGTTAGGGTAGGTTTTAGGAAATGTTCTTCACGCAGGGGGTGGTCGGGAACTGAACGGGCTCCCCAGGGAATGGTCGCGGAACCCAGCCTGCCAGAGCCCCAGGAGCGTTTGGACAACGCGGGCACAGGGTGGGATCGCTGCGGTGTCTGTGCAGGGCCAGGAGTTGGGCTGGATGATCCTTGTGGGTCCCTTTCAGTTCAGGACTTTCTGTGATTCTGCAGTAACTGTGTCCTGCTCAGGTTTGGACACAGCACTTGTCTGTGAGTGCACCTGACCCACCAGCTCAGGTCTCTGCACCAGCTTTAAGATTCAGAGATGCTTTTTATTTTTTAAGCTTCCTTCATTATTTGGGTTTCTTGTTTTCACACTCCTTAACTTGACATGTGTGAGTCCTTTGTGTTTCCTCCCAGCAGGCAGCTGGGGGTTTAAGGAAAAGTGTTGGATTGTCTTAGGCTTTATAGGATTACAGGATCCCAGGCAGGATTACATCCAAGATCATCAAATAAATGTAAATTAATGAAACACCTGAATTCAGAGGAAATTGACCGGGCCATGCGTAGAAAAACTGTAGGCTGCATTAAAAAGCTGAGTCCACAGCTATAACTCCTGGGATTTCTGTCTCTTGTAAGTACACAGGTGCTTAAAGGGATACAGGATTTATGTGAGGATGCATTTTGCTATGGTGTAGTATATAGGTCTTTGCTCACCAAAATCACAAAGTGTGCAAAGAATTATCTTAGACAGGTGGCTGAGGAAGGCATTACCTATATTATATGTTCTGTCTCTTCAAATTGATATCCAGAGTTGTCTCTTTGCTAAGTCTGCTTTTTTTTCCTAATCATTTCCTGAGGCTTACAGGTGTGTATTTTCCAGGATGTGCTGTGAAGATTTCAGCAAAAGAGAAAGAGGGAGCTTGGCTCAACCACCAGAGAAGCCCTGCAGCCCACACCCAGGCAATCCTGAACCCGTGAGACCCGTGTGGAGTCTCCCAGGCAGGAAAACTCCCCTCAGAAGTGGCACACTGAGAACTCTTCCCTGGCCAGCCACAGAATCATCCTTGTGCCTGCTGTTGCCTTCTGATTCAATGACTCCTTTCATTAGTTTGTGTGGGTGCCTTTCTTCAGCAGAGTGGATCAGCTCCTGCAGCTGAGATTCCCATTCCACATCACTGCATTTACAGTCAGTTGCAAGGAAAGGGATGCTTCAAATTCCCAAGAGCTGACTCTGGATCATGTCTCTCTTAGTTTGTTGTCAGACCTCTGGGACATTATATAAATAGCTAGTGCATATTCCCACTGCATTTTCTAAGTTCCTAGCAGTTGGCAGCGGGTTGGTTGGTCATCCTGACTGGAAAACTGCTCCTCTTCTATCCAGAAAAGGGCAACTTACTGTCTGAGGTGGGCTTAACCTTTCCCCCTGTCCTTGGCACCTCCAGCAGCGGCAGAGGCAGTTTTCTGTTTGATTTTGTGAATCGTATCTTGAAATACCTTGCTTTCTCTGCCTGCTGCACAGAGTTTGAGTGCCTGAACACATCTGGAGCTCAGCAGAGTGTGAGCAGGAGAGAGCTTGTCCTGTGCTGTGAGTACGCCACATGGATTGGGCTGCATTGTCTCTCAGCCCACCAAACTCTGGGCTGCAGCAGCTGAGTATGCACCTTCCCCTTCAAGGATATACTTCCTTGGTGTGTATACATTTATATATATATCCTTGGTATGTCCCTTCCCTGCAAAGAGGCCCAGCAGTGCCAAGAGCAGGCCCCTGTACCCTGAAGTGCTCCTGCTTCCTGCAGTGCCTTGTGCTATGTCAGGCTGAGGGGCAGTTGGGATATGAACCTCCCACTCCGACATCCTCCTCGTAAACATCCCGTCCCACTCAAGTCCTGTGCTGTCACATCCTCCCTGCTCTGCCCAGATGCTATTCTGGGTTTAGTTCTATATGCAGAGCACACAGCTGGGCATGCCAAAATCCAGGCAGGCAGCAGGGCAGAACAGTAACTTGGTTCAGCTGCTGACATATTACAAGTATTGCAGAGGAGGAGAGTTGTTGAAAGGTCTTAAAACTAAAATCATCTGCTTGAGCCCTCCTTGGAAAGCCAGTTTGCTCCCCTAGGTGTGTTCAGCAGCTGTACCTTACTCCAAGAGATGCAAACCTGTGCACATGGCATGAAAAACGTTGGTAATAATGGAAGGGAGCAGAGCAGAGAGCTCAGAAAGTGCAGCACAGTGTTTACACAAGCAGCACGTACAACACCCATCCCCGGTGAGTCAGTCCTGGCCGTTTCCTTCATTTCCTCCAAGGCTCGCTGGGAACATCCAGCAGTAGCAGCCCTTCTGAAATCCAGTCATCTCCTTTCCTGCCTCTTGTTTACAGCTTTCCTTCAGCAGGGAGCAGAGTCCCAGCCTCCAGCACTACATTTTCACTGCAGCAGGCTGAGAGAAGTGCAGACCCTCCCCTGGCCTCAGCTCAGCTTTGGTACCGCAGTGCTCTTGTTGCTCTTATGGGTGCCTGCACCTTGAGCTACAGCAGGCGCTGAGGTAAGAGAGGAAAAAGTGTCTCAGTTGCACAATAGGGTTTTGGTTTTTTTTAATCTTGAATGCAGCTTTATCATTGACAGAGGTTCTTTATCCCTACAGCCGCACCTTTGGATTCAGTCAGGTAGGGTAGAAAGAATGCAGTGGGGGATTAGGTTAAGTGTGCTAACCATTCCTCAGAGATACAGGCTGGAGCTTCCCTGCTTCAGATTGAGGTGTATCTCATGCTCTTGATTTCCCCACATGACAGCAGCTAGGGAGGAGGACTATTTTTAGCTTTTGTTTCTTGGTTTGTTTACAGGAAGTTCTTAATTTGTGGGAGTGAGCTTGGTTCTGTCTTAGTCTGAGAATCCACTTCAGTGCCAGTTGTGGATGCAGTTACAAGGGTGAACTGCTGCTGTTGTCTGGAAGAGGCATCATTTATCCCAGGTGTTCAAGAAACTATGGGCTTCACACAGAAATATACTGATTTCTGAGATATTTCCTGAAATTTGTTCAAGGAGATGTCCAGGCAGCTGTGACACACACAGAACTGGGAAATTCTTTTGGGTAGTATGGATAGAAATGCTTTTCTGTGTGAAACTAATTATAAATCTACATTGCTTCCATAACCTGAGTTAATAACAATAGCTCTGAGACAAAACCCATATTGTCAAGAAATGAACATCCCAAGACAAGAACAGACCTAAATGGTCGTCCCCCATTTCCTTCTCAAGTGCCTTCTCCTGGGAATTCCAAATAGCCTGCAGCCAGCAAGTGACCTAGATACAATGCTTTGTCTGCTCTTATGGAGTAAAACCAGGAGCAAAATGATCCACCCAAATTATATATCTTTATAATCCTTATTCAACTTCGTCCAGGTTTAGTTTTTTTTTTTTTTTTTTCCCATACAAAAAGCAGTAAGAATTGTTTGTACAAATGGATACCTGCATATGAACCATGAAGGGATAGTTTTTTGTCATGATGAATTATGTACCAGTTACAGTGAAGGTCTACATTGGATGGCTTAAGTGTGAATGGCCCTTTTAGTGTGTTGTACAAATCTTTTCCAAAGTAATTGCAGTGCCTGGCCTGACGTGCATGTCAGGCCATTGTCCTACACAGCAAAATTCCCCTTTTCTAACAGGGTCAGCCAGGAAAATTTAAACAAATGGACAAGGCTGCAGACTGTCTTGAGACAAAGGCTACTCTTAGGGGCATGACAGTAAGGGATGGTCTGGAGAGTCCCTGCCTGTCAGCCATGTAAGGTAGTAAAAGGATGTTTTTATTTGCACACATCCTGTAGCCTGACATTGCCCAATAGTTTGCTTGATGATAAGCTCCTGCCTGTTCTAAAAGCGATGAGGTGGTTCTGAACTTGTGGATGACGGCCTGGGGGAGGCTGATGTGCTTTTTTCCCAGCTCAGTTTATAGCTGGGAAATCTTTCTCGATACCTTGAAATCTATCTTGATATCTTTTTTTTTTATATCAAAGGAAATGACTGCTCATGCCACAGCCTCAGAACGGTGAGGGCTGCACACATGCAAATGTTGGTTTCGTTGACCTTCCCTAATTTGGATGGAATTGAGGGTAGGAATGGCCAGTCTCAAACAGCAAAAGCAGCCATGATCGCCTCAGATGTTACTTCAGTTTTGCCAAAGATGTAAAAAATGTCAGCTGGACAGAAGGGAAGACAAACTACTGCTCAAAGCATTGCTACAAACTGAAGAAAGAAATCCCCACAATGTTTCTACTGCTCAAGACTTCACATGAACAACTGGAGCAAAACATGACTGAAAACTTCACATCTATTTGCTTATATATTATTTTTTCAAAAGACAGAAGGAAATAGCTTGAAAGTTAGTCCAATTCCATTAAAATCCTTTTATTTGGAATTAATAAAATATGGATTCCTTTCACAAGCAAGAAACTCCTTTGAATAAATATTGTGAGGAAAAAAGGAGCTATGCTAAAGGGGATATAGTCTCTGAAGCAGTTACCACCCTTTAATGATACATACTGTGGTTAAAGCAACCTGTTTCCTGCTCACCAGTAGCACTTGGCAACCAAGTGATGGAATTCTCAGTGGAATGTTTTTAGGAGGATTTCCCTCAGCCAAACTTGAAAAAATTGCATTTGATGTACATAATGCAGTATAATGTCACATTCTTCCTGTTGAATATATGGCTTTTTAAGCCATATTCCTGCCTGATTAATATATGGGAAGATTTATATGGAAGTTTCCATGCAGGTAAATAACACAAACTTGAATTTAAAGGTTTTTTTTGTTTTTTTTTTTTTTGAAAATACATTGTGCAGGGAAAGGGTGGTTTATGAGCAAGAACATTAATGAGGGTATTTTTGGTACTTTACACTGAGTGTCAGCAGTGTGTTTTACTGAACAAAATTATTGCAGTAATTTCTGGCCTGGAGTCCACACATATCAGGAGGTCCATTGGCTACCTGAGGAGGATCCACAAAAGATACCCAGGAAACACAAGGCAAGACCCCTAAACAAGAATAAAAAAAAAAAAAAAAAAAAAAAAAAAAAAAAAAAAAAAAAAAAAAAAAAAAAAAAAAAAAAAAAAAAAAAAAAAAAAAAAAAAAAGCAGGTTGAAAACCCCCAGTGCTTCATACTATTGAGATGCCTCCAAAAGGGCAAAAAGACATGGAGAAAAAAAAAGTGTACTGGGGGAATGAGTAGTCAGACAAAGAGGAAATAGGAAAGCTTTTAGTGGGCTTTGGCTTTTCTCCATCATCCAGAGTTTTAATTTTTCATAATCCAGGATCACAACATTGATACATCCAGAAATACCACACACAAATTTTGGAAAAATCTTCATGAGAGCTGGTTATGCAAACATTTCCAAACAGCTGCTCTTTTACAGCAGTTGATACAGGCAATTCCAAGTTAAGTTACAATTTCAAGGAAATCTTTGGGCTTATCGTTTTTCTGCCCTGAGATGCTCCATGCAAAGCATACCCCAAGTTGCTTGTTCCTGGCAGGTGCCTTTCCCAGACTGAAATCCCCAGTTGCAGCTCCCACAGAGCCTTTGGGAGGCAGTTTTTGGTTTTCTATGGAGCTTTCCATTTCAGTGTTGTGAGATTCTGAACTCAAAAAGCTGGATTTTTCCTTAAGTCCTTCTCTGATTCTTCTGTTGCAGCTAAATCCTTGTGCAAATCTGAAGCAGAGCCCTCATGCTGCAGTAAATTGTTGCCCAGTCCATGATACCTTTCACATCCATTTGCAGGTAATTGCTGGAGTGGGGTCTCAGCCTTACCTGCACCTCACACACTGATGCTTCCCTTCCTTCCTTAGCAGTGAGAAAAAGCCTAAAGAGAGAGGATCCAAGATAATGAGCATTGTCTGCTTTTCCCCTCTGAGAAGTCCTGGAGAACATTACTGGGACTCTTAAAATACTTTTACTCCATTTGGAAATGCTAAAGCAAGAAGTTCATCAGTCTTCCTCTGTACTTTTATATATGGGTGTTGATGGCAATAACTTTAGTTGGTTTGGAGGGGGGGTGACACTCAAAGGCTTCTGTAGAAATGATTCTGAACAAACCAATCCACTCACTACCAGAACATCTAGAACACTTCATTATGCCTTTCTGTTTCTTTCACATTCAGGTAGGCCACTTACCCTGTGGTCATTTCTTCAGGCTTTCTGCTCCAGCTGTGAACTCTAGAAATAAATTACTATAAGGGAAAGGTGGAATATAGACAAAGTCACACCACTGCAGGTACTCTTATTCTAGCCCAGACATGCTGAAATAGTTGGGCCCTCTACAAAACTGAGCATGGAGACTAGAAATGAAAGCAGCATGCTGCCTTCAAGGGAGTTGCCAAATATTCCTCTGGTTTCAGCTGAAAGAGAGACGTGGCTGTGTAGGAGCTGCACGTGTGCAGGCTTTTCTCCATGCAGGCAGCTGCAGCACCCGCGTGTGTGCAGCCAGGTGGGAGGATGATCCTCAGCAGCTTTGCTCAGAACAGCTGCCTCTGCCCCAGCCCCATCCTGCACTCTCTGCACTCAGAAACCATGGTGCCAGGAAGTCACTTCTTCCTAGCTGAGATTCTCATATGATAATATCCATTTAAGTGTTGTTGCTTGTGGTGTAGGTCAGTAGTAATGACTCCGGCCGGCCCTTCAGTTTCCTTCCTCTTGCTGGCTAGACACAAAATCCAGACCACAAATTAATCTGTCCCATTCGCCAGTAAAGAGGATAAATCCCCTGTTCATTAAAAAATTGCACACAGAAATCCTTAGTTTGTATTAAGGTCCTCTTCAGTAACTGTGAAATCAAGCCCTTAAAAGTTCAGAAATCCCAAATTCTTCCTGCATTACAGATTTGTGTTTGGGATTTTTGTTCTGTTCTCTTGGTGGACAGAATTACACATAGTAGTGTAGCTTTTAACCCAATAAATACAGTAATTCTTCATCGTCTTAGTTTTTGCAGAGGAGGATAAACAAAGCTGAAATGTACTTCCCTCTCTGTTCAGTGTCTTTGTACAAGTTCTGGAAGGGGAGATCTCCAAGCCTGGATGTGTGATAGTGTAGTGCCCCCTCATGGGAAGCTGTTCCTGATGCTGATTCCTGGCTGCATGCAGGTGAGAGAATGTGAGCCCAAACATCATTCTGTTTGCTGTGCCTGCTCCTCTATGCTGGTGTTGCACCAGCAGGTTTAGAGAGGAACTTCCCTTTTCCCCCCTCAGGTAGTTTTGGTTTTGGGCACTGGATTATTGTTAGGCTTTCTGTCAGAATGTTCAAGAAATTTTTGGGGTTTTGTAGTTTCACCTTTTTAAAAAAATAAAATCTCTGGGATTTTAGCCATCCAGAGGTGGTGGCTTTCCTGGAGGCCCTAAACTTACATAACTTGAGTTCTGTAATTAGATAACCAATCTCATAATAGAAAAATGAGCACATATTCTTGAATCACCTCCCTGATACTGGCCTGTTGTATACTGAGAGAGGATTCCCTGTGCCCCTCACTCCCCTCAGTTCTGGAAAAAGCAACCTTTCCATAAGATGGATTATAATGGTGGATGTGAGCTTGCCCAGAAATACAATCATGCACACAGGGTGGGGAAGCATTGTTTGTTTGGAGTTCTGATGCTGTTGTTGGAAGGGCAGACTGAAGCAGGATTGTTTCCTATGAGCAAAGGCACATTTTGCATGAATTGAGCTTTTGTTCTTAAAACACAAAAGGGGCCTTTTTTGTGATTCACTCTGTGTGATATTTTCAGTTTTCTTTGCATTTAGTTAAGAACAGCACAAGAATAATCCTGCAAATAAAAGCAGAATAACCCTATAAAAAGAGTGGGGTTTCTGCTTCAGCAAGAAACTTGCTGCATTACTGTGGAGGCTCAGGGTGTAAAGTGGCTGTGGTAGGAGCCACATCCTTGTCCTGTGGTCAACATGCATTGCCACAGACTCTTTCTCTTCTGACATTTTCACACCTCCTGAGACACATGATTTGAAATCCCCAAGGAAGCACAGAATAAAGAAACAAAGACCAAAATGTTGTTTAAGAGGCTGTTGTGCCTTGTTACAGCCATATGAGCCCCATCATCTTAGTAGGGTGCTCACATCCAACCCCTGCTACCCCTGTGTCCTGGAGCACTGTCACATTATCCTCTGGGATCTGGGGATTATCCTCATAGGCCCTGCAGGATTCCCTGCAGTGGCTTGGAAATCTGTGCCTTTATCTCACCTCTGGTGCTGGAATGCTTTCCTGGCAGGTCTCACTGAGCACATTTCTTTCAGGGGCTGGTTTCCTGCTAAGATGCTTTCACTGATGCTGAGTAAGGAAGGGGTGAATCCTGGCTCCAGCTCTTCTCACTGGGAGCAAACAGATCAGGCTTTTCCCTGGGGTCAACCAGCTGATTCTGAGTCAGGTCGGAATTCCCATCAAAACCCTTTCCACATATATGTCCTATGGGAATCTGCCTAGATTGTTTCAGCTTAGATACCCATTCATCAACTCAAAAAAAACCCCTAATTCTATGTCCTTTACTCCATTACAATAAGATGTCCTGGTGGCATTAATTACTCCTGATGGACTGGGAAGGTCAGAATGCCTCTCAGGAGTATTCTCTGCAGTGGATCCCAAAAAGAACCATATGGTCTGGGTTTTCTTCCAGTGCCTGAGGTATCTTATGGTCCTATATCATCAAATGGTGGAGAGATGACTCTGTGATCTTGCTGTGAGACTGGCCCAGCCCACAGATATTTCAACAGGAGTAAAAGTGCTCCACAGAATAAAAAGTGGCTGCTGCTTCTCTACATGGGAGCAGGATATAACAGGGGAGAAAGGTTGGTTGCAGGAAGGAGGTGCCATGGGACAGAAATAGCACTAAAAGATCTTGGCAGCATTTTCCTGCTCAACAACTGCAGGTTTCTTTGAGAGGAAAGATCAAAGTTTTCTATCCAAATAATGTTTTGAATTTGAATGCCTGCATTGAAATCAGGATTTGTAAATCTATAGTAGCTTTGTTTCCCAAATGCAAAACT